AAAGTGCAAATTTTGATCTTCGTCACGAACGAATAAACGAATTTGCGACAATCCTTCATATTTCTGCAGCAAGCGTTTGCCCGCTGAACTACTGCAGATTCGAGTTTTCCTGGTTTTTTGGAATCGTTTTTTTAACCCAAGCACACGGAGGCTGGCATTTCCCTGGAATACATTTTTGCTCCAAATCGAAAATGATAATAACAAGATTTTTGCCGTATGGTCATATCGTAATAACGAGATCGGCTTCGAGATCGTGAACTTGAATTAGTAAATTCCGAGTCCCTGCGTCTTGAGCGAATGGTTATTGATCAATTTTTTTTTCAAGAAAGGAATTCTTTGCAACACAAATCATTTGCGGGAACGGAAGGAGTATTAGCACTAAATACTTCTGGTTTTCGATTCATATCACTAATTTTATCTGCCATAGACGCTAATTTGTTACATCTTCATCACTAATAATATATTTTTTTTATTGAGTCAGGTAGTTTCTCCATCCATAAAGTTTTGATTAGATTTTCAGACACATCTGTAGTAGCAACTGATCTCAACTTTCTGGCAAAAGTTGGCTTGGTTTCATGTCTCTAAGTTCGATACCATAATCAAACGTTTAACATCCGTACATTTTCACTTTCTTTGAATAATTGGTATAACCTAATTTTAGCATCCGAATATTTGTGGCACTTACAATGTCCCAAATATTTTCGACGAACTTAGGTTCAAGCTGTGAAACTAAATAATTAAATTTTCGTTTCTTCTGAACGATATTACTAATTCTGAACTGAGCTTCAACTTGAAAAAAACCATATTTTTCCGGTTTATCAGTCCAAAAAGGAGGTATTTTTACACTCACCTTATGAAGCTCCGGTGACTGCATCGTATCTTTCATAGCAGTTTCAGAAGAGTCATTTGTTGACATTTCGAAAATTAATCAGGGTCACCACGATATGGCCTTGGCTACTAATGTTTAAAATTAATTTATGACTAGGAACAGCATGAATTATAAACAAATAGCTAAGTTATTGCATTTTATTTTCCGGCTATCGAAATGCGACGCTACGAGCAATGTTTTGAAACCAAAACCTAGCAATCATGAATCAGAACTAGAACTAGTTGTCATTCAGCTTAAAGAAATTTAAATATAAATATGAACTACTTATTGCCATTCAGCATAAAAGAAATATAAATATGAATATTAACAAATTATTAAAGTTAATTTTATAAAATAATTAAACACATGAACAAATATATGAAATAAAAAAGAATTATTTCTCATGCAATAACTGAGCCACTACAGATTCACTACAACACTTTAGGCAGTTCGCGTAAGTAGAATCCGTTCTTTTCAATTGTGTTTAAATGACGGATCCGACAACTCAGTGCGCATGCGTGGTTAATGTTGGTGCGAATAGCTCAAGCGGCTAATCGCACCTCTGGTGCGAATAGTATCGGCCAAGTTTTTTTGGGCATACTGAAGTAAGGAGCTACCTCTTTGTGGCTGAACATGCTTCGTTGTTCGTCTACACTGACAAAATAAGATGTTGCAGAAAATCCGATAACAGTACCGCAGATTATTGTGCATTGAGTCTCGTAAGATTTAGAAAACTGTATGCTTCCAAAATACTGTAGTCCAAAATATTCCACATATTTACGTGTGAATAGGAGCCAGTGTTGGCTAAATAAGGAATTTATTTTTACCGAAGTATTACACTATTAAAAATTCTCCATATTAAGATTCATTTAATTCATAAATTTCAAAATAATAAAATAATGCGGTTGGAACAATAAGTTAGATGTTTACTCTTATATGCATTACAGGATCTACTTTACAAACCTCAGCTAAGGGTCTTTTAAATTATGTCATTTTTAACGGAAGTTGGCATCACTTCATTTACAACCGGTAGTGACGTTCTGTCAGGTCCACGATACGCAACATGCGGATGTGATTCGAAAAGCTAAGTCGTCCTGAACTTGGCCGTGACTTTGATGCCTTCCCTCAGGCATATTCTTTACCCTCAGGATATTTAAGATACTTCCTGATGCTCTAAATTAAAAAAATGATTTCACCAATTGCAGAACCCGTCAAATGAAAAATTCCTAAAATATCTACTTATCTCTAAAACCGATTAAAAATACCTTCAATTTGGCCGATTGTGTCATCATCTGTGAATGTTTTGAATTTTTGTTGTGACGTGTGCTACTGTTGTCCAACATACACGTTTTCTTCATCGGTTGTATTGATCTAAGGTAAGCGGATAAAATTAATTCCCTAATACTCTTTTTCTCACACTGAAATTAGCCGCTAAATCTTGCGTAAGATGTTGACAATGATGTAACTGTGTTATAGATTATGTAACTTATTTATGAATTGTTTTATTGTTAAATAATTTATTTACACATTTATCATCAGAGGCCAAACTAGGGTTTTAAAATCATGACATATTCCAAATCTGAATTCAAAAGGGTTAAAAAAAATTAAATGTGTATAAAGAAAGGTGAGTGTAACATTTAATTTGTCATGATCTACTATAATTTATATGCTTGTTTTCTAAAATTTTCTGCATATATGGCATAATAATATGGCATAGTAATATGATTGATTATATATTTTACTGTGTATATAAGGAAGAAAATATAATAGTAATTGGAGTAATTCTTTTGGAAGGTATTTAAACTTCTGAATGTTGTATCTTCTGTTCATCTTAAAGCTTAAAGTATAAGCATAACATGAATAACTTTCTCTTACAGAATTTTTTTTTAATACTTTAAAGCAGGTTAGTAATTAAGTTTTGTATCAGGATGTATGTGTTTTGTTGTGAACTTTTATTTACATTTATGGAAAGTTTGAGGTGTCTGAAAAATTTCGATGCATTTTATTAAGTATGCATTTCAAGGTTATTTTACATTTTCAACTTTCAGAACAATTTTTTTGTTCTTTAAAATTGTTGATTTCGAATGGTTTGACATTAATGCTGGGTGTGTAAGGTTTGTATGATTAAAATCATCTAAATTTAAAGTATAGAATTTGTGTTCTTTCTTATATTTTAACATGTTAATGGTATATATAAAACCATAAAGTTTTTAATACTAAATGGTTAATGGTTAATGGTATATATAAAACCATATAGTTTTTAATACATGCAGAATAGGGCTAAAATAATTTTTTATTAGCTTTGTGGTATGAAAGTTTTCCAGATGAAATGCAAAATGATGGTATTCTGTAAAATATGCATTTGATATTGGTATGGATATTTCTGTTAGATTAATTATTTATTAAAGATTAATATTAAAGATACTATTAAAACAGCCATAATAAAAGATAGTAATATAACTTAATAATTTTGTATGATTTTTTTCACCATTAAAATATAGGTCAAACACAGCATCAATTAACCATTGCATAGTAACCATTGTTTGCATAGTAACCAATATACTTTTCATTAATAATTGAGGTTAGTTATTAAGATGGATCTTGAAGTGAAAGAGCTCCCAATTGAAGTTTAGTGATAGCTTTTTACCTTGATAAAGCATCTTTAATTATAGTAACATATTATCACAAGGGATATTTGCATCATAAAATTATCTCTTACAATTGAAGGTAATGGCCATAAATATATTTTGTCTAATAATGCGTGTATGGTGATAGTTGTTCTCTAATGCCTAGAACTTACCAGTGGTTCAGCTGAACACTTATAGTTATGAGCTTACTGTGTAGGACATTTCATTGATTTTCCTGTGCATTGTGTGAATATGAGGCAGCTTTTTTAAAAATTGCTGTACAAAGACATTCCGGTCATTAGGTAGATAGTCTTTGAGTGTTTTACTGTAATCTAAATCAAGGGTTTCTAAACTTTTTCTTACATGAATCTCTTTTAAAAGAATGGTTTTCTTCATCAACCCCCTTTCGTTTTTCTCAGTAATGTACATATATAATCATAATACAAACAAATACACATGAATAATTTAACGATTAGATTAAGAACATGAACAAAAGTTTTGAATAAATTAAGATAATATATTAAGAACATGAGCAAAAGTTCTGAAAAAAATTAATTTATTTCATAACTTAGTGTACATATGTTTTTGAATAAGACTTTTGCTTAAATGCAATCAACTCCTCCTCCATCATAATTTCAAATATATCCGCTGTTCTCTGAGCTACACTGCTGGCCGTTAAAATTGTAACACCAGGAGGGAATGATCTGAAGAGTGTCAAAGTCACATGAAAGGAAGAAGAGGTTGGCATATGCAAATAATTAATATTTCAGAGTATTTAGACGACACAGGAGGGAGAAACGACATGTGTAGCACTGCATGAGAGAAAAACTGCGTAGTGGGTTTCTCATTTGGAAAGTGCTGTGTAAGGTTGGAGTTTTCTCATAATATCATATCATGCCTCGAATAAGAAGAGGAAATGCTTCCGAAATTCAGTAGAGGCAGGATCATTGCCAATCAAAAGTGTAGATTACGTTCTGTGATATCGCCGATCGCATTGGTCGACATCTAATTACTGTCATGTGAATATGGAATCAGTGGATTGCTGAGGGTCATACTGAACGACATACAGGATCTCAACGCTCTCCCATGACTAACGGAAGAGAGGACAGACATATTGGTGAGGTCAGCTCTGCAAAACTGTATGACCACATCATGGAGCATTTGTCAGGAAATGGACATGCTGCCAGCATACCCATTTCCTGACTAATGCTCCATTATGTGGTCATAAGCTCACAAGGTGCGTCGACGTATCAGCAGGATGACCATTACTTTGGCTTCCCTTGACAATGCAACATAGAGAGAAATGGTGACTCTGATGAGGCAGACGACAAAGCTGGCGATTAAGACGACAAAGCTGGCGATTACGGGAGTGGCACAATGTCGCCTTTTCAAATGAGTCTAGGTTCTACGTGCTTATTTTGATGGCCATTTGCATGAGTGGAGTGTCCGAGGAGACTGCACGTCACCTGCTTGCATTCGATATTGGAATATGGGCCCTGCACCTTTTGTGATGATTTGCGCAGCCATTGGGTACATTACATGCATGTCTCTAGTTTGGATCGACGGTAATTTGAATGCAGATAGGTACATTTCTGACATGTTACGTCCGATGATTGTGCCTTATCTTCAACGCTCCCAAACGCCATGTCCCAACAAGATAATGCAACACCACATGTTGCACAATGTGTTCTGACCTTCCTAGATACACAGGATATTTGATTTGTACCCTGGCCTGCACGGTCTCCAGATCTGTCATTCATTGAAAACGTCTGGTCATGGGTTGCTGAGAGATTAGCCCGTCGCCTCTCTCCAGCTAATAGGGTTGATGAAGTGTGGCATAGACTTGAAGCAGCATAAAATGAGTTGCCCATTTCTGTCATCCAATCCCAGTTTGATTTTATGCCTAATGGAGTAAGGGCTGTTTTAGCTGCCGAGGGGTGGCAGCTGTTTCTAGTAATTTTGCACTCCTGTAAACTGCCAAAATGCTTACAATTTAATCAATTTGACTTCATGCCATACTATTTATGCGCAATAAATATCTTTTTTGTATTTGCTTTACTTCATGGTACTGCAATTTTAATGGCCAGCAGTGTATTTCGGTGCATACAAATTTTTAGTGTCTTGGAACCAAACTTTAAAATCTTTTAAATTTTGGCTTATGTATAACTATATAGCTATGCATTCTTTATATTTTTTGGTCTTATTTTCTTGTGTTTCTACATTTTACTTTTTATATTGTATACAAATTTTACAATTTTAAGAAGTATTATTGGTGTTTAAAAGTATATTAAATAATTTTAGTGTATTTTCCCCCTTAGATTTATTTTATATGATTTAAGGTGTAGCTTTATGTCAATAAAGAACTAATTATCTACTTTACAGTATTAATAATATTTTTGTAATCAATGGGATCTTCAATATGCCGATTCATTGGTCATGCCAATCGACCAGTCGATCCCTTGATTATCATTAACCTCCTTTAAATTTTCATCAATCCTTTAGGGTAGGGGTTTCCAACCTTTTGGTTCGTAAGAGCACATTCTAAAATATCTGTTTGACGGCAGGCACCATTTACTTTAGTTTGATAGAGTTAACAAATAATACATGCACATAAAAAGAGCTCGGTTGCATTTACTGGTATTTGTGTTGGATGTAATTTCTAGTTCATTAAAAATGAGAAAACTTTCACATAGAATTTTATTGAAAACTGAAACACTTTTATTGTGATCACAGAGGGGTGGGTGCCATGGTACCCACAGTCATAGGCTCAGGAACCCCTACTCTAGGGGGTCAGTACCAACCCACGTGGAGAATCTCTGATCTAAATAATCCTAATCATCATAATTTCTCGATATATATATGTAAAGAATGAATGAAAAAGATTAGTAATTATATTCTGTGCTTGTGATATATTCTTGCGATTGAACAGCATGTTTTGACATTTATAACCCTGTGTGTTACTGATGTTTCTTAGACATCATACATTTAACTTCTTGTTATCTGTAGCATATCATTTGAAAGGGTAATTAATGTTATTGAATGCACAATCTCGTAAGATTCCAGCATTTTATGATCATTTTATGATATGACTGGCAAATCATGCAAATGTATTCAGGAGGCAGAGCAGTATGTTAGCCAAATAGTTGTGTTGTAACCCAAGCATGTATGCTGGTAGCTTGTGTTGTGCTTTGGCTATTGCTTAAAGTCAAAGTGTATAGATGCTGAGTTTATACAATACTGTGATGTTCTTTTAAGTGAAAACATATTCTTGTATGCATGGGGGGGGGAAACAGCCAAAGAAATGAGAGGTTTTTAAAAATGGTAAGTATTTTATGAATGATTATTTCTTTCTTTAACAATTTTTTTTAATAGTTGGTACTTCTCAGATATATGCCTACCACATATTTTGGTGGTACTGTTGTAATAATATGTGTGTATGTTTAATTATTTTTGTTTACACATGCACACCTGCCCACATAGTTCCTAGATGGTGCAGTTATTGGACCTTGGCATGTGTTTGGCTTCTCTTTCAGAGGGCAAAAAGTGTTGAAGGTGCATAATGGAAAAGTACCTTTAGTTTTATTGATTGATTGTTTTTATATAGAATTTAGTGTGGCACCATTTTGAAAAATGGGTGTTGCCTTTTGCATGTTAGCTTGCTGAAAAATTAGTCATGAAGAAATTGTGATGTTTTTGGTAGTGTTGCAGAACCAGAAGGTACGTTAAATTTTTGTTATGATTTGCAATAT